AAATGTCTCTTCTCGATGAAATTATTGGCAATTTGTAGGATTTGTGTCCCAAAAACTGTCACCGGGGCAAAAAGAGGCAAACCATGCTATAAAACAAATATAATCTTTTATCTTTCTGTGGAATATCGATCGACGGTAATGATGCGTTTGCACACAAAAAAGATCACACATACTCAAACATACCACAATCCACTGTTTTGTAAAAAAAATCTTTCATTTAAAAGTTAAAAAATATATTACTTTATGTAAAACACGTGTAGAGGATGCATACAACCTTAAACTATTTTTCTACATTCAACTCTAAAAGCCCTTAGAAATAAAGAGGTTTCTCTACTCTTGTTTAATTTCAACTGGAAATCAGCCTGTACCACCAAAGGCAGCTTAAATTTGTTGTAACATTTACAATTGAACCATTTGGGTCTTTATCTAGCGTCTTTATTGTCTGACAAATGACATCGATTTTTTATACTTCTAACTTTTTTACAATTTTGTAGATTTTTTAAACAAAAACAATAATTTTTTGCCTAATCTGCTTTTTAGCAAAATTCAAGGCCTATTCAGGATTTACAAAAAAAAAAGAAAGACACAAATTGGGTCCAATCCCAAAGGAGGGTCTTTATTGATTACACCAATTGTATCAAATGTTAGTGTCACTTAACTCTGGGACTCTAATGTTCCTTATAAATGTCGCATATAAAATTAGACCCAGTTATTTTTATTGTAACCGATAAATGTTTTGTGCAAATTGTTCAGTAACCATGTGACGATACCACATATCATTGTAACAATGTATGGTACATATATTTATAAAAAGGTTTAAAACTTGACAGCGGATCATATATTTTGATAAGCTTACTGCACAACTGATTTCTCTTAAACTAAGTATACATATTTGCGATATAACCTCTGTCGTTGTAATATTCGTCAGGACTATACTTACTGCGTGTTAATGTAAGTATTTATTCATTCATTTTTCTCTCACGAATTTCACTTATTTTCACTTGTATTCAAATCTATAATATGAATATCAGGTATCCAAACTGTGTTGGTTGTTTGGTGAAATATTTAGGTTGTAATTCGTCAATTTCGACAATTGTTGCACAACCAAACTGAGTCTTGTAAAATTTTGTAACAGGCTCTCATGGCACTTAATCAGGTGTAATACCACAAAACTATAGTACGTCACATCCGTCGCATACGAAAAAGGGTCCAAAAAATTATTCCCCTGAATTAGACAGTTGTAGGTAATTAATCCTACATTTCATTGCAGTAAAATATTTTTGGTTCATACACATATGTCTTGGGTATTTCAAAGCACCATTATTTTTTTATTTGGGGTTTCTATAGAATAGTTTGGAAACTTGAGGTTACAGGGTTACTGAAGCTTATACACAGGTACATGTAAAAAAGAGGTAAATATTATATGGGTTAACTTCCAGTGATAGTTTTTTCTCATATGCGATGAAATGTTATGTGAAATTTTGTCTACAGTACTGGACAGGATACATCTTTACTCATGTCAAGTATTTCTTTATTTGAAACAAAGATAAATTCTACACAATTTTTTGAAAAGTGCAAATGTAATAAAGACTAATAGGGGAAATCGATGGTGGTATTACACATGTTACACCTAACAACCTTTAGGTTCATGCCAGGTAACCCCAAGTAGATAGATATATTCAATGATCTTTTTTTTTTACTGTTCTGGTTGGCCCCTTCAAGTTTTGAGGCTTTTAAACGTTTCATATGTATGGATTTCTACCAAATAGTGAATCGAAAAATACCAAAGGTACATTAAATTTTATCGATCCTTCTATTAAACAGAAGTTCTGATATCGTTCGTTTTTCGGATCCTTAAATGTTAGCGTCATTACGTCAAAACATTTAGGTAATTAATCATGTGCTCATTTCGTTGGGTAAACAAAACAAAACCATATTGCCATGCCAAAAACGAAAACAACCACACAATTACAGTCTTCAAAACACAACATAGATAACTAAAGACTAAGCTAATTGAGAATCTGTTGATACCCATTCCATATTTTTTGTAAGTAAATTTGTACAGAGTAACCTATGATATAACATGTACATGTCGGCAAATGAGAGCTATCTACTTGGCTAGTGATACACCAAAACATCGAAGATCTTTGCTTCCGACCCAGTGGTACATTGTATATATATTTTGATCTTTTCTCACGACAGTAGGTGCTACTTAGGCCGACCGACCTGGCCTAAATTAAGGTGACAGAAGTTTACCGATGTTCAAATCTTATAAACTTAAAAAATCAATCTTTGTTTATTCATTGACATTTCATTTTATTCAAAGATTATTTCAACATGATAATACAACAAATGTACACAATAGTCTATTAGAAAACAACAAGAAAGATGGAGGAAGAAGAAATAGAGCCTGAATGCACTGGGATGAGACGAACGACGCTCATTTAGGAGCTTACAAAAATTTTGCGTGAATACCCAGATGATGGACAAATTCTAAAAGTATGTATTTCATTTTAAACCTATTTTGATCTATAATGTTTTACTTTTATAAATTGTGACTTGGATGGAGAGTTGTCTCATTGGCACTCATACTACATCTTCTTATATCTATTAAACCGGAAATGCATTATTAGAAACAAACAATGTACCATTACAAATTTCTGAAGACCATTTATAACCAATCAATAAAAGTACCACTAAGGAATGGTTGAATTGAAGAATAAAAGGAAGGAGGAGGGATCAGAAGGGTTATGTAGTCTTCGGATAATGTTGGTAAACGTCGACAAGGTAAACTAGGTATCATATTTTCTTCCCAATAGACTGCTTGGTGGTGAAAGTTAATGAAAATCATGTTTCTTGATCTTTTTATTTATACTATTTTCACAGGAGATGATTCAAAATGCAGAGGATGCAGGTGCTGTTAGAATTGCCATACTTTACGATGAACGGCAGTTACCATCAAACCCATACGCCCAACGTTATTCATACACATCACCTTACTCCAAATACTTTCAGGTTGGTATTTAAGAAATTTCTGTTAAAAACATAAAACAAACTAAGAGAGTTTTGTAATGAAAATTAGACAAACTCATACGCCCAATGTAATACAAACACATCATCTTATTTCAAATACTTTCAGATTGGTATTAAAGAAACTTCTAGACAAAAATTATATATACTTCTTTATAAGTAGAGTAATTCATGATAAAGGTTATGTTATGTATTCTATACAAGAGATGGAGACAATTACACTATGATGAACGTATTTGTAATCAAAATGAATATTCACTTCGTGGCCTGATTGCCAAAATTTACTTAAATAATGAACAAATAGATTAAATTGTTAGTTTACTTCGATATGCTGAATTTAACAATGTATTTAGATTTAAGATAAATACCATACTAGATAACAGTCCAATTAAAATTTTTTAGTTTTTTTACCACATTCATTCTGTGTCGGAAACCTACTATTCGATAAATATTCATTCACAATTCAAATTCAGAGCTGTATTAAACTTGAAGATAGTCATTACTTTACCAAACTGTTTAAGGTTCGACCTCTGCAGTTGTATCAAAGTCCGCTCAGCGGAGCATTTTTATTAAAGATCATAGTAAATAACCTACAATCTTCTACCTTTTGTAAAGTTTTCTGCCAACAAGACCTGTAGATTAAATTAAAACCAAAATATGAAATGAAAAATAGAAATAATAGTATAATAAAAGTACAGTGCATCCCTGTGTACATGTTAGGTTTATTCTCTAATGGTAGTTATCTATTTCCTGCCTGAAATGTTAATTCTCGTATCACACTGCACGGAGTGTGATACGAAAAGTGATATGAAAATCTTAGGTCGTTGATGACTTTCAAATATTAATAAGATGTGCATTTTGTCCATGATAACGGACATATGTGATACAAAACACTCACACATTTCACCAGACAATCGTCCTTTTGTCAATTTTCTTTACATTCTGAAGCATACAAAAGTGTTTAAATGTATGATATTCAAGTTTGACACAGGAAAACTTTTAAATGACATATGACGTCATACAGGAATGTGCAAAAGACTAGATTAATATTTTGCAGAATTTTTAATTTACACACAGAGAGTGTTGACCATAACATGCATAAGAGAAATAGGTTTAATTTTTGAAAATTTGATATCGCTTGATATCAAGGCTCGTTTATTATTATATTGAAATTAAATAAGTCGAGTTGATATCAAGCGATATCCCGTTTTCACTCTTTATGAAACCTATAATTATACACCAATTACAGTACTGTTTAAGGTAGACCTGTAGTTTTTTTTTCTGAGCATCCCTTTTAGGCATGTTGGGAAAAATATTGATATGGTTTCAAAGTAGTTTACCAATTATTTCACCAAATATCATTCAATTTACAATAGAAACATATAACACATGAATCAAAATCTAACTATAAAAAAATCAAGTGTCATTAAATGTATTAAAAGTTTCCTCTATAAGGAAATAATAAATATTTCCTCTACAAGGAAAAATTGATTTTCTCCTATAAAACCCATAAACAATAACTGTAATTTCGTTTATCTCAATGTATTTGAACGACAAACAAACGTTGCCCCCTGTTTTCAATTTGCATTTTGAAAATGTATTGACCCAGAGGTCTTTACATTAAAAAGTAAGAGTTAGAAATATCATCGAACATTAAGACACACTAATTACTTAATACCTTACAACTTCTCTTTGTGAATATCCAATATAGTATTGTTGAAACCGTTATGATCTAAAAACGTCTTATGCAGGGTAAAGTTAATTCTTTGAATTATAATGTTCAAAAATACTATTGAATCAACGATTTCATAAATAATACCTATCATTTTCACATTTTCTGATTTAAGCAATTGTCCCGTTTAATCTTTTATAGGGGAAGACTAGTTTTCGCTTTTATTTCTTTTTTTTTTTTTTTTTATTTTGGTAGTCAGAATAAAGTTGTAATTTGCTAATTATTTCTTAAAAGGGTCCAGCATTAATTGTTTATAATAATGAAGAATTTTCTGTGGATGACTGGGAAGGGATTCTTCGAATCGGTACAAGCATTAAAGAACTTGATCCATCAAAAGTTGGAAGATTTGGATTGGGATTTAAGTCCGTTTTTCATATCACTGGTAAGTACAACGATTTTGAAGAATTGATTGTATTTCATTATAAATTAGGAAACAAACATATCTGTGGACCCGACCTGTCATGATAGTATACCATGGTTTGAAATATGTCGAACTGCCTGATACTACAGCATGGTTTGAATTATGTCGAATAGCCATAATAATAAAATTAATTATTGATTCAAACGATATATATACATTTGTAGCCAAAGAAAAAAAAGGAGTATTGCCAAAATTGCAAAAATTGGCTAAAGAAACGAGAGAATTATTTTAGTAAATTTTTTAATTAAAGGAATGGATGCATGAATTCACGAATTTTGTTTAATAACTGGACTTGATTTTAACAAACGTTAAACATCATTAAAAAGCTTAAACATTTTAAAGGAAAAGAAAAGATACCACATGCACATTGAAACTCGTAAGTCAAATATAATTGATAATGCCATGGATAAACAAAACTTGTCAACATATGGTATGTTTTGATGCGAGTGTATTTACAGGTAATACATGAAAGACAACTGTGCTTATAATCTCCTCAAATTGTTTATCCGTGTTAGACACACTGCACAATTGTGTCTAATCAAGAATATATAAAAATACCAGAAGCTAGAAAGTTCATGAAAGTATTAACAAAATAAAAAGTCGACATGCAATGCTTGAAAGATTGTTCTTGTTTTAAGAGACTACAGTAACTTGTTGGTTAACTGGTTGTATCGGATAGGTTAACATTGAAAAGAAGTTTGGTCTGGTCAGTCATTTTCTACCAATTCATGTTAGGATTCACATCCTTGGCTGTTGGTAGATAATGGCAGATTCCAAATCTATGGTTAATAGGACGTCATGCCATTCAAACCCGATGTCAGATTTTTTTCTGGTGAACATAAAATTGTGGGGAGGTGATCTTGAATGGTTTTCGAATATATGTGTTCCGCTGTCGTTAGTGGCGGCTGTGACGTAATATGACGATGCTTGATTATGATCGTTATAGTTTACTCTTTTTCCTCGAAAAATTCCGGGAATTTAAAAATCTGCCATTGTTGGAGAAAACAAAAAAACTGTCATTTAATTACGTTTTGTATGGCGGTTGTGATATCATTTTTGTCATAGATTTCAAATCTGCCATAAATCTGAGGTAAATAGAGCTGGCATTTTATTTTTGTAGATTACCCCATGATTATAAGTGGACAACAAATGATGATTTTGGATCCATACCTAGATGAGGATAAGTGTTGTATACCACTTTGATTGTCTAAGCTACGGTTATATCGTGGATTTTGTTTGCAAGAATGCTTCGAAGCTTTAGACCCTGCATTCAATTTTGTAGAGAATGTGACAAATAATGGATATTTCAAAGGAACTATGTTTAGGTAACATCTTTAATTTCTGCCTTAAACGTATATCTAACAAATTTTTAGCTCACCTGGTCCAATGGGCCAAGTGAGCTTTTCTCATCAATTGGCGTCCGTCGTCTGTGGTCCGTCGTTAACTACTAAAATGTAGTTTTTGGCTGATATCTTATATCTCAGCCCTCCCCTGACATGAATCTGACATGGGGTAAAATTGTTTATCAGGCCAACATCTATCTGACCTCAAATTTTCAGACAAATCTTACAACTATTTGTTAGGTTGCTGCCCCTGAATTGGTAATTTTAAGGACATTTTGCAGTTTTTGGTTATTATCGATAAACTGTAAACAGCAATAATGTTTAGCAAAGTAAAATCTACAAATAAGTCAACATGACCAAAATGGTCCATTGACCACTTAAGGAGTTATTGTCCTTTATAGTAAATTTTTAACAAATTTTTGTAAATTTTTGTAATCTTACAAAAATCTTCTCCTCTGAAACTACTTAGACAAATTTAACCAAACTTAGTCACAATCATTATTCGGGTATTTAGTTAAAAAATTGTGTCCGATGACCCTGCTTGCCAACCAACATGGCCGACATGGCTAAAAATAGAACAAAGGGGTAAAATGCAGTTGTTGGCTTATATCTCTGAAACTTAAGCATTAAGAGCAAATTTGACATTGGGAAAAATATTTATCAGGTCAACATCTATCTGTCCTGAAATATTCAGACAAATCAGAAAAGCAATTGTTGGGTTGCTGCCCCTGAATTAGTAATTTTAAGGAAATTTTGCAGAGTTTGGTTATTATCTTGAATACTATTATAAATAGAGATAAACTGTAAACAGCAATAATGTTCAGCAAAGTAAGATCTACAAATAAGTCAACATGACCAAAATGGTTAATTGACCTCATAAGGAGTTATTGCCCTTTATAGTCAAATTTAACAATTTTTCGTAAATTTTTGTAATCTTTTACAAAGTCTTCGCCGGAAACAACTGAGACAAATTTCACCAAACTTGGCCACTATTAGCATAAGGGTATCTAGTTTGAAAAATGTGTCCAATGACCCTGCCTGCCAACCAACATGGCAGATATGGCTTAAAATAGAACTTAGGGGAAAAAAACAGTTTTTGACTTATATCTCTATACATAAAGCAAAAGTATAACAGTTGCATTATTTCATGCATCAATTGTAAATAAAAATATCAGGTGAACGACACAGGCTACTTGAAGCCTCAGTTTAAAATATGGAGACTTTTTTTTTTTTACAACTATCGTTGATAAAAATATTTCCACAGATAACTATTACCAGTCTTGTACTCGCGTAACATTTTATTAACTCCCTTTTTTCAATCTCTTCATTTCAATTTGTTGTTTAATCTATCTTTAAAAAAAAAAAAATTATTCGTCTTCATAATAAAAAGTGACGCTCGAAAAACATGTTTTCAAACCTGAAGAGCATTGGCACTCAAAGTTAGAAAAAAAGTTGTGCCAAATGTGACTAGGGTCACCGTTTATGCCTACTCAAAATGTTTCATTGTCTTTTTGTTTTCAATAATTTCACTTGTTTATAATCAGGTAATTTACAAAAAGTGACGTGTATGTTAGCACAAAAGTGCTCACTACTAAGCTGGCCCAACAAAGTGAAAATTCATCAAAAAAAATATCAGCTTATGATTTGGTATGCCTGAAACCTTTTTCAAATTTATTAGACTCTATCGTCATGATAAAGATGGAAAGTTTGATTTAACTATACAATCCTTATATACCTATAAAATCAATGTCATCGCCTAAATAATACCAATTAAACAAACACACATTTAACAGTTGATTTAGCATTTCTATTTGCCAAACATCAAAACATCGTGTGTGTGCTTTGAATGTTTATTTTACGTAAGCTTTAGTCATTTTATTATTTTTTAATGAATTTCAGATTCCCATTGCGCCAGACATCAACTAAGCTTTCAGATTCTGTATACAATCAGGAAAAGATCAATCATCTTTTATGGATGTTCAAAGAAGAGGCTTCCCTAACATTGCTTTTTCTTAATTCTATTGAAGAAATATTCTTATATGAAAGTTTAGGGTCTCTATTTGAGCAAAATCCAGACTATATGGTAACCATTAGTGGGTGTTCGAATGATAATACCAGAAAAGATAGAAGAGTAAATAAACCCAAATGCATTCCTGACAATTCTCTCACTACAATGTACTTATTGAAACTGGAAACAACTCGTAAAAGACAACCGATAAAACAGATATTATGGTTAGTTCTTAATCGTCTCGTAGGGATATCGGAGGGATCCAAAAACCTATTAAGACTAGCTAAAAAGCTAGCATACTTGCCTTGTGTAGGAATTGCAGTACCTGTGTCACCGAACACGTATACTGGACATATTTTTTTGTTTCCTGCCCTTGCCAGTACCAAACATCAGTATGACTAAACTACCTGTGCATGTAAACGGGACATTCGCACTAAGTCAGAACCGCCAAAATTTAAAATGGGCCGATAAATTCACTGTTAGTTTCAAGGAAGATTCAGTACAGTGGAATGAATTGCTGATATCTGAAGTTCTGCCAAAGGTGTACAATGACGTTATTTTGACAATTATTAAAAGATTGAACGATAAAATGCTGATATTTAGATGTATTCCTGATCCAGAGAAAGTAGACTATAGATTCAAGGAATGTGTTAGCAAGCTGTTCACAAATATAATGGATGTACCATTCTTATATACTGAAAGCAGTGGGGGAAAATGGATTCGTTGGCAAGATGCAGTTTTTCCAATCTTCACAGAAAATACAGGTAAAAATGTAAAATGATGAAAGATTTATCAGAAAAGCCTGACAACCAATAATCTGGACACTTTATTGTATACAGGATGATTTGGTTATTATTGGTTTCCAATGCTCTTCGTACCTCATTTGATATTTCTAGCTTGTTTATACGGGTGTCACTGATGAATATTTTGTCGACGAAACACCCGTCTGGCGTACAGCATTTTAATATTGGTATCTATAATAAGTTAATTAAAAGTCAGTTTGATGAAATGAAAAAAAAATAAAACAAAAAACAAACAAAAAACTTATATAACAAACTTGAGAATGGAAATGGGGAATATGTCAAATAACAACAACCCGACCAATGAACAGACACCAGCCGAATGCCACCAATGGGTCTTCAACGCAGCGGGAAAACTCCGCACCCGCAGGCGGTCCTCAGCTGGCTCCTAAATAAAATTGTGTACTAGTTAAGTAAAAATGGTCGTCACACTGAACTCCAAAACATACAAATGAATTAAAATTTAAAAACATACAAGACTAACAAAGGCCAGAGGCTCCTGACTTGGGACAGGCGCAAAAATGCAGCGGGGTTAAACATGTTTTGTGAGATCTCAGCCCTCCCCTATACCTCCAGCCAATGTAGAATAAAGAAGCACATAGTAATATGCAAAGTAAAACTCAGTTTAAAAGAAGTCCGAGTCCGATGTCAGAATAGATAACAAAATAAACTAAGCAAAATGAAAATGATACATAAATTAACAAAGGACTACTAGCAGTTACTGACATATGCCAGCTCCAGACCTCGATTAAACTGATAGAAAGATTATGTCTTCATCGTATGAAAATCAAGTACAATCCCTCCCGTTAGGGGTTTAGTATCATACCATCATAAAATTTATGAGAGGAACATAACCCGTATCATGCCAACAACTGGTTTTATAATAAATGTGTTTAATTCCGATGCAAAGACATGAGTTAATCAATATTAATACCGAAATATGCAATCCTTAATGACCTGACAACAGTATCGTAACTATATCCTTCTAAACAAGTCTGTTTAAAGGTTTGGTAAGCTTTTTTACTGAATGCCGACATTTTTGTGCTTTGTAAAGAATATTACCATAAGATATTAGATGGGAAATACCTGAATGTTTAAGATGTCTGCATGTTGATTTATATTTACAAATGATGTCCTGTTACCGATGATAAAATATTGTAAATGTTTTGACTAGTTTGTGATACTAGTATCAAAAACCCTGGTGTGATAGTTTTTTTAGTAATACAGAGATTTCTTTCCTTGAAATCAAATACGTTATATTATACACGAGCGAATTGAACAAGTTGAGATATATAAACACCATAAGATGGTGACAAGGGCGCATCACCATTTAAAAATGGCTAATTAGCAATAGGAAATGAAAAATCATCTCTTTTATCATAAATTTTGGTACTAAGCCTCCCGTTAAAAATATAGATATCAAGATCAAGGAAAGGGCATTGTTCATTGTTAGTATTAGCTTTATTTAAAGTCAGTTCGGCAGGATAAATCTCTTTAGTGTACATACTGAAGTCATTATTGCGAGCCAATATATCATCTTAATATCTAAAAGTGTTATTAAATTTTTGAATCAGATGTTGTTTCGATGGGTCTTTGCTGATTTTATTCATAAATTGTAACTCATACCAATACAGAAACAGGTCCGCAACACGTGGTGTACAGTTGGTTCCTTTGGGAATTCTAATAACCTGACGAATCTCCATAGCGAACAAAACTTTTATCTAGTAAAAATTCAAGGGCAGTTATAGTATTAAAGCAGGTCCAATTGACATAGTTCTTTTGTTTGTTGTTACTAAAAAATGACCTCAAAGAGTTTGAACATATATATTCGCATTCCGAATTTTGAAATGCCCATTTAATCAGGTGTGTGTTTTTTTTCTTAATAAGATTGTGAGACAAAGTGGTATATAGGGTAGAAAAATCAAAACTTTGAACAGATTTGAAATCACCAATATAAGCATACAATTTATCAAGTACTTCCAACGAATTGTTGACACTTCAAAAGTTATTAATTCCAGTATTTTCAAAGGCCTTATTTGAGCAATGTATTACCAGGTTTTTTGATTGTACCACGTGTACTAATAAGTAGAATAGATAGTTTAGTAGTGGAACAATGGCTTGAAGACGAAATAAATCTATCTTTGTAAGGAGTTTTGTGCAGCTTCGGAAGCCAGTACATAGTTGGAACTTTCATTGTATTTGGTTCTGCTTGTAAAGATGTAGCTAAAGGTTTGTGTTTGTTGCAGATGTCATTTTCCGAACGTGGAGTCAGTTGGATTGTTGGTGAATTCGTGATTTCCTTTTTTAGAACCTCAACGTAATGACTTATTTCAAGAGTCAAATAACATAAATAGACTTATCAAACCTAATATGTCAGTTTTTACTGTATATTTATAAGACAAAATAGAAATGAACCTACGGATTACTGTTTCAGTTTTAACATTAATGACATATTGAAAGTGTAAAATTGAAGAATAATCTAATTCAAGTAATGTATTCAAATATGCCAAGGGTAATGATTATTGCTGTCTAATTGACATTTGTTTGAAAAACGATTACCTTAAATAACATGAATAAGGCACTTGGAATTCAAAAATGTGTTCGGTAATTAAATGATTATTTCATCTTAACGTACTATCGAGTTCTCAATCTCAAATATTGCATTAGAGCCTACAATACATTCATTAAAAGATAACATAAAACTGTAATGTATGTTGTCATGATTTGATGAGCCTCTTCAAGAACAGGTACAGTCTACTTTTGTGATAAACTTACTATTTCAATATGAAAAACCAGAGTATTTCGAAAGAATTAATTTGTTTTATGTCAATGAATATTCCATAAAGACCTATCAATGATATTTCATGTCAGTAAAATAGTAATGTAACATGCATGCATAATCTCATAAATTATTGTTAGATTTCTTTTAAAATGCAATATACAATATAACAAGAGAGAGGCCGAAGATACCAAAGAACACGGCAAACACATTAGTCGAAGACCAACTGACAAAGCTATGGACAAAAGAGAAAATGACCTAAATACAAGCAACAATTATAAAAAAAACCACACAAATCTAAGAACTAACCAACAGAAACCCTATCAAAAACCGGGTGTGAGCTCAGGTGCTCTAGAAGACCTGTTGTGTTGCTCTGATAAATACAAATTTCACTACTTGTATCATTTAGTTTAACAGTTTTCATGAAATCACCAACCTTCCGACATGTCATAACATGAAATATCTGATATGTCGTATCAACTTGAAGATATATATATATGTGTCAAGGGCATTACTTAAACAAGTAAATTTTTTTAGTTACTGTAATGTTGGTAGCCTATATATAATAACTAAGAGACAAGCCATGTGTACTGGTTAGCATACTTTTATATATTGCTAAAGCTAAGTAATCAACACAAATACATATTGCAATACGACGCGCCCTTTTCTACTATGTCTATCAACACAACACGTGCGTGAACTCTGAACTGTATAATAATTTATGGATGAATGAAAGTTACAATATTACATCTCTTCCTTTATCAGAATTAAGTTCTATTTCAATTATTTGTTACTGTCTGTATAGTCATAAAATCTGTAACTGTCTGTGTAAACAAATAAAACTGATAAGATCCGTAAAATGATGTCAATAGAAAATTAGAACTTTATAGTCTGTGATAAATGTAACTTACTCGATACTCGTACGATAATGTCAATGTAATTAGTGGATCATCTGATCAATCTGATAAGGCTATCATTACGAGTGCGAATAGTAAATTCCACAAAATGATTTCTATCATATATTCACAAACATATAGATCAATATCAAACCTCACTGATACATTAGAAAGACCACAGGATTATTATGCCTGTAACACAGCTCATTAACGCACATAATTATCAAGACATTTCGGTGTTTGTTTTTTCTCGTGATGATCTTCTCAATGGTGTGTTTGGTATAATGTCATTATCAATGATTTATTCTAAGTCCTCGTCATTCATGATTTTAGATTTTCCAACCTTTTTGAAGTGGGACGAATTTCGAGTTATATCTTTATGTTGTTTGTTCGTTGGCATAATCCTACAACCTTTTTTATTCTTACTTGTTAATGGTTGAGGATTATACGGGATAGACAGTTTATCTTTCTTTTCTTGTTTAACTAGGACGTTGTCTCCTACTGTAAAATCAGGTACTTTAACTGAAGTGTTGTTTTTTTTCGAAGTATGAATTCATTTTACTTTTGTTTCTGTGGTCTCCTTTTCGCACTTCACTGTCGGCTTGGTCATTTATTGGGATGTTTGGCATTTTGGTATTTATTTACCTTCCAAATAAAAGATCGCCGGTGACACGTTAGTTGTGTTTTTTCAGATAAAATAAAAATAAATTACAAAAAAGTTGTTGCAAAGAAATGTGTGTATTTGTTGCTTCCAGCTACGATGTTCGGTTTGAGCTGCACGAATCGCCTTCCCTATTGTTCTCATGAATCGTTCACTTTCTGCGTTAGTGCTGAGCCATCAATGTGTAATTTTTCGGTGCTAAAAACCCATGTTATCCGCGAAATTTCGGAATTCTTGGGAATTTAAAGGCGGTCCATTGTCACTTTTGAGTTCTTTTGGTATTCTAAAAATAGAGAACGTTTTATCTAGTAGCGGTATAACGGATTTTGCAATCAGACTTTGTAAGGTTTCTATAACAGGATACCTTAATATTCATCAATTCATCAATTATCACTGTGTAATAGCCATTTCTCGGAGTTACCGCTAAACATGGTATACATGATTTACACGTTTGTTCAACATGTTTGTATATTCGAGCTGGGAAGTATACTTTTTCACGTAACAACTGTTTTGTACGTACTATGCCCTGGTGCCCTTCGTGTGCAATGTCGATCACACGCATCTGTAAATCCTTCGGAATAATGATTCTGTTATGATCTCCCTATCATTAACGGGAACGACTGCTAGATCCTATCGTAATTTTGAGAATGTATCCAGCGTAGTGCTCTCATGCTCGTCCCACTTTTTTTATTTCAATGCAGTAATAACGGTTTGTAGGTCACTGTCCTTTTGTGTACTTTCAGCTATCTCATTAAGGTCATTGCCTTCGGCAGAGCGTTTTCAGTTAAGTATCGGACATACTCTTCTGCTAATTGAGAATGTTTATATGCAATAGATGTAGTCGTGGTCGGATGTCTTGATAAATAATCGGCCGCGTTCACCTTTCCTGGCTTGTACTGTACTTTGAAAGTGTACCCTTGTAATCGTAATCTCCATCTTCCAATGCGTGCTAGGTTCTTTGTCTTTGGACTGTTAAATATAGTTTCAAGCGGTTATTGATCGGAAACCAATGTGAAAGACTTTCCGTACACATAAAGGTGAAAGTTTTCAATTGCCCATATATAATTGCCAATGCTTCCTTTTCTGTTTGCGAATAGCGAGTGTCAACATCTGTTAAAGATCGGCTAGCATAGGCGATTATTTTCCAATTTTGTGTTCAAAATCCAGCTAATCCAACGGGATTTACATCTACTATCAAAATTGTGTCTTTGTTTGGGTCAAAATACGACATCACACGGTCAGCAACAAGTTCATTATTTAGCTTGTCAAATGAGTGTTGTTGTTCAGATGTCTATTCCCACTTCGAATCCTGCTTTGTTAACCTGAAGGGCGGTTCAGTAATAGTTGAATATTTGGAATAAAACGTCCAACATAATTTGTCATAGCTAGGACACTACGTCTTTCGGTATTGTAGTGTTCCTGATAGCGATTATTTTTCTTGGATCGGCTGATATTCCATCTGCACTAAAAATGTGACCATAGAATTCCAGTTTATCCTTGTTTAAATCACATTTTGCCTTATTCTATATTGGCTTCTTCTCTTTACGACGTGCGAATAGTTGTTCCAATCGCCTATCATGTTCGTCCTGGTTCCTTCCAAATACGATAATATCATCGGATATATTTCGGACTCCATCTAATCCTTCGAGTGCTTAGACTGAAACTAAGACGTTTGTATCTACATTATCGTGTGTCGTGAACGTTGTAATGTTCCGGGATTCCTCGTTTAACTCTAATTGATGATAATCACTACGAAGGTCCATTTTCGAGAATACTTTAGATCCGTTAAATCCAAAATCATGTCATCATGTGTTGGTGTAATATGACGTGAACGCAAAAAAACCTTATTCGGTTCCCTCATATCTACGCATAATCGAATTTCGCTCTTGTTTTTCGGTTTTGGGGCCACAACTATCGGGGACACCCAAGGTCTTGGTCCATCCACCTTTTTCTATTATATCTTGCTTTTCGAGTTTCTCGAGTTCTGCTTCCACTTGTTTACGTATGTGACACGGAATATGTCTATGCGGCTGAATAACCGGTTTAACACATTCATGAATATGAATATTTTCACTTTTTCATCTTTTAATTTACCGATTCCGTTGAACACATCGCTATATTTATTGCGTAATATTTCATGTTTATTTGCTACGAAAGGAATGACTGGCACTATGTTTAAATCAACAGATGTATTGTAGCACAATAAATTCCCATATATTCATCACATACACCGGTCTGTTGTTATTTTACGGTCAGTTTCTATCGTAGCATGACATTTTCCCCTCAACTTCAGATTTTTATCTGATCCATATGCGAATACTCTTGTGTCGGCATTAGAAAGTTTTGGTTTACACTTGATTTTCTCGAATGTGCTTATATCAATAACATTAATATTGGATCCTGTGTCGATTATTTTCGATTGTCCTTCCTGTACTTTATTCACAGTATTTTCTCCTAATCCGAATATGTATCTTTCGTAAGAACTGCTATGGTGAGCATCATCATATTCATAACTGTCAACTTTATTGACTTTCCTTTTGTAAGTGTTAGTTCCATCACGTTTGGATCTGCATACAGCGGCGAAATGATTCATCTTTTTATAAGAGTGACAACTATTTAAAAATGCTGGACACTTGTTTGAATGCGGAAAGTTACCTCCAGTTTCTGCAAGTAGTCTTTTTCTTTGCCTTTTGGTCCGTTTGTGTTTGTAGAAATCGTGGTCCGTTGCGACGTCTTCCACCTCCTTTTCTCACAACATTTGCGGATTGTTTGTCTGATTGTTAAATTTCCGTTGCCTGTTTCTCGGAAAGTTTCAACGCCCTAGCTGATTAAATTGATCCTTGAAGGGTCGTGTCTTCCCGAAGAGCCATTCGTCTTAGTCTCGTTGAATGATAACCATGGATTAATTGCAATTTCACTTCTTTTTCACAATTTACAGCAAGCTAGCGTAGTCTCGTATGAAAACTGTCGATCGTTTCATCAGATATCTGTTTGGCTTGCCTGAATTTATAAATTTCATATTCTGCATTTCTTTTTGGAGCAAGGTAAGCTGTTAACTTGTGTTTAGTGGCAGCAAAGTCTTCTCCTGTATTGTCTAGGGTATCAAACACTTCGTATTCATCTTTCCAGCGTTAAGTAACAAGAGTGCTCTTTGTCATTTGCTGTCCTTTATGTTTAAACCGATGAATAAGTTTTCTAGTCTACTTATCCATTTACGCCACCATATTCGGCATTGGTCTCATGTACCGGAAAACTCATACATTTTTTTTCATTTCCAACTCTTTTATCCTCGTCGCCAATGTAACGTTGGTATCCTATATATAATAACTAAGAGACAGGCCATTGTACTGGTTAACATACTTTAACATGTTGCTAGAACTAGGTTATCCACACAAATACATATTGCAATACGACGCGCTCTTTTCTGCTATGTCTATCAACACAACACGTGCGTGAACTCTGAACTGTATAAATATTTATGGATGAATGAAAGTTACAATATTACAGTTACCTATATAAGTAATGTTTGTTTAAAAAAAATTACAAAATTACTCAATAGAGTTATTTTAAATTTCAAAAGAAGCATGGACTATAGGTTGCATTTCTGTAAATAGCCACGATGCAATTTCCCATAGGAACTCCTATAACGGCCAAAACTATACTACGTTTACCTTGAAGTTTTGATGAAAATTATATCCTAGAATGGAAAGTTCATATGCACTACTATTTTTTCAAAGGTCAAAACTTACACTAAAATTATGTACTACCCCTACCTTGACTTTAGGATTTCCACAGATTTCAATATGACTGATATGCATATTCATATTTACTGGTAACATTCCCAACATAGAGATCATAACTGGGAACCAGTTCGTTGACAAAATTAATTATCTATGAATATTATATATCTCCCCAAAAGAAACAGCTGTATTTACAAAGTGCAACCTAAATGTAGTCTTCATGAATTTTTACATCATTTTATATCATGAAATGAAGAATTTATTAAATTTTAGAGGCGTATGTAGAGATAAATCTTTGAAAGAATTAGTAACAACACTTATTTAAGGAACATATGTAATCTTTTGGGTTACAAATTATAAATAACTTCAAGTGTTAATTTATTCACAAATTTCTATCTATTTATATATGTCTACCTTTACGATTTTTAAGAAAAATGATATTTTAATAGTCCCAAGAGACGACTTTTTGACCCAAAAGCGTCGATATGAAAGATAAGTGCGTCAGAAAGGCAATTGGTGTTTTTGTTTTATGGGGAAAATAAGATTTACTACTTAACTGTATCTGTTCTATCCTTCATTTCAAGTTCGATGGGATAGATGCGTTCAACATACATTTGTAGTCACCAAACATTCAATCCTAATTGAGAGATCACCATTTTATAGAGGAACGCTATGTTAAACGGTAATGTTAGCTCTTCTTGTATGAGTTTTTCCTCATACAAATGACAGAAAAAGTCGTCAAACGAGGAACATAGTTGGTTCCCATGCGAATGCCTATTATTTTGAATAACATGACCTCCAAAAACGCAATAAATTCTTTATTGATATGCATTTTTCTTTAGTTGTGTTTTATGCTGTCATTATTTGATGAGCCTCTTCATCTGTGTTTCGTATGTACAACATGTGTCTATTGTAGTGATAACCCTGCAAAATTTGGCCGATAACGTCATAATTTATAATGATAATTGTTATATATTTTCCAAGCTATTCATCAAATTAAACGTCAATTCAAATATTGTTTTCTTATACAGAAATGAACATCACAGAAACACTTATGTACACCATGAGACAGTACAATTGTTGCTTGGTAGAAACACAAGGATTTCAACGAATGTATGATATTCTGTGCAAGGCATATGATAATCCACCACAAGACGCCTCACCACAGTTCATCAGTGAAAGGCAAACTTTATAAAATATTTATTGTGTATACTTCTACTTCAAATTTATTGACTGTAATCTGTCATTTATCAAGACGGAACCAGTGAATACGATTCATACACACAATATTAAATGGGCTCCTTTAACAATACCTGTCGATAAATTTGCCTCAAAAGGATGCATTAGGTCCAGGTTAATATATACGTAATTTTGAGACTTTACTGATCTTTATGTTACAGAGCAATTTTAACAGCATGCATTTTATTCCGATGAAGGACATTTTCCTCTAGAGTACTTTAAAATTTTATGTAAATCTATTGATATTTCTTTTCAAGTCGACTGGTCCATAAGATTCATGTGGGCTATTGATAACACTTTACGTTCATCGTCGTCATTAACAAGGTGAACTCTTTTAAAAAATATTGTATTGATTATGTCTGCCGTCAATGAGTCATAGTCAAGATTGTTGGTTAATTACATAGTAGTAAAAGGCAAGTAATTGTATAATCGCCAAATATCTACAAATTGGAAAAATATTCTAAATGTACAATGAGGCCGATATTGTCAGAGGATTCCTTTTAGGAGTTATTAACATCAAATGGTTTTATTTTACCAATTCTATTATTTTGCATAGTATATTGACAGCATTAATAGATAAACAAAACTGTTTAAAAAAGAAATGATCAGCAATACAAGATCTAAAAATAAGTCATTATTATAGAAATCGTCAATTGACACTTTATAAAATAAATGCCTAAAAATGACAATTGATTTTTGTGCTTTTCTTAAATTATTAAAACTATAAGAATAAAAAAGAGATACCATGAAGAACAAAAATGAGGCATAAAGACATATTTACAAAAGTCAATATAAGTTACATCTATTTGAATTATTGCCTATAAGACGATTATTAAGAACTATTTTACTGCTTAAACCTGATATTTTGAAACCCATAATGAATTATAGATAGAAATTAAAACATAACAATTTATTGATCAGCAACTCTTGATTTACAAAATAGTCGATATGACTAAAATGTTCATTAGGAAGCATTGCCCTTTCAATTTAAATGTAGATTTTTTTGTTTTATCTAATATTTTGAAGACTGCACAATATATAGACGTAAACGTTAAGAACAAAAACTATCACAAATGTGTGGTCTTCTGATTCATTAAACAGACTTAAATCGTCAATCAACATTGTTGAGGGGTGATTTCTCTTTTCTTTTGTTTTTTTTAAATCAATGATAGTGCGTTTACATGATAAAGACTATTAAAAGACAGAAACATTTAAACTAAACATTTTGTTACTATTTGATTTATTAAAAGTCTATATGATTAAAATGGTCAATTTTTTCACTGAGATTATTGCCCTTGAAATGCGATTTATACTGATTTCGTTTATGTGTTTTGCTGTTGTATTGAAAACTTTTAAAATGAAATAGAAAATTGAAATTAAAAATAGTCAGCAAACGAAAATCTATTAGACCACACAATGTATTCGAATGGCGATAAGACTCCTTACAATAATTATTGTCTTAAATCAAAATATTTACGAATGTTTGAGTTTTTGACTATTATAAATATACTATTGAAAAGTACAAAAAGTAGACAGAAAGTAAACAGCAAAATGTATTAGTATAAAATGTCAATTTGAGTGACATAGTCAAACCTTTTAGTATAGTTTTTACACTTCAATTATGATTTGTGACTAATTTTCGTGCTTTTACCTTCAATATATGTTGACAATTCTAAACGAAAAAGAAACTTTTAACAACACGCATAATCAGCAACATAAGATCTATCAAGTGTTTCCAAAAGTCTTAAATAGGAGTATTGCACGTAGGGATGCTAACAGAACAATTATAATATGTTAACCTTATATCTTGAAGACTGCATAATAAATAGACAGAAAATTTAGATAGCTAAAACTATCATCAGAATCATTTCTATCATTCCTAATATCTCGACCGCAAGAATTGAAATCGTCAATAGTCTCCTCGTCATAAATGAACAGCAAAAGAAGATATATAAATAAATAAATAAATATCAGTGACATTGTCAGCTAGATATCATTGAGATGGGAGCCATCTCTTTGGGCCCCGCTGTGAATAATGTGTGGTAACAAATTTGTATCTTTATCATTGGACATGGGGTTGTCAACTGAAACCGAAGTTTATGACCTTGAACTTTGACCTAGGAAGTTGTACATACATTATGACACACCCTCTGGTGTTGGTTTATATACATGTCAAGTATAAACTTTGAAATCATAACGGTTCTCAAGATATAGAGCGGACACGATCTTTACCATAGGACATGGGGTTGTCAACTAAAACCAGTTTTTGACCTTGACCTTTGACCTAGGAAGTTTTACATACATTATGACACACCCTCTGGTGTTGGTTTATATACATGTCAAGTATAAACTTTGAAATCATAACGGTTCTCAAGATACAGAGCGGACACGATCTTTACCATAGGACATTGGGTTGTCAACTAAAACCAAAGTTTCTGACCTTGACCTTTGACCTAGGAAGTTGTACATACATTATGACACACCCTCTGGTGTTGGTTAATATACATTTCAAGTATAAACTTTGAAATCATAACGGTTCTCTAGATATAGAGCGGACACAATTTGTTACGGACGGACAGACGGACGGACGGACAGACTGATCACTATAGGGCGTCCGCCATTCGGCGGGGCCCTAATTTTCACTTTGAGCAGATAATATACTTTAACGTTTATTGTTTATTTTTACTGTTTTCAATTATTGTTTTAAAAGCTATAAAAGAGAGACGGAATCTTTAAAACGTAAAATTAATCAGCAAGAGAAGATCTGCTAAAAACATCAAATGGTTGAAATCATTTGTTAACCCTTATATATGTGTTGCCCCAAAATGACAATTCTTTCCGATTTTTGTTTTCTTTTGGGTGTGTAATAAGCACAAAACATAATCGGCCAGACAGAAAATCAATTTGCCATAAATTTTTAAAAGAATCATTTTAGGAGTGAATGCCCTTACTACAGAAGTAAAAAGAGACAACAATCCACCAGAGACCTAAGAATGTCAATGTTATCAATTATATATTTTAACCGTTTTCTAAGATTGGGCTTTATATATATTGAAAACGGCAAACAACAAAATGTTTAACAAGTAAAAACTAACTGTTGGCTTTTTATAGGAGTAATTGCCCTAACAGGACAATTCTTATCAATTTGAGCATTTGTTCCTAATGTTTTATTTTGTAAACTATAATAGATTTACGAAAACTGTTAATATCAAGTTAGATAAGCATTTCAAGACCTACAAAAATCGTGAACGGGCTTTTTAGTGGCTTTATTTTTTGGCTATTCTATTATTTACAAATAATACAATAGTTAGAAACTCTGACGAGCAATACTGATCAGCTAGACAAGCTCTAAAAATAGATGAACAAGACTGAAATTTCAATGTAGTCCAAAAGGAAATAATTATCCTTAAATAATTAATTTTATCCATGTTAAGCTATCATCTTGAAATCAACAGCAGTCCCATGGAAATGGTAACAGTATATTAGACCAACTAAAACAGATATACAAAGGTCAAACACGAGCATAAAATCATCAGTTGACTCAACATTAGAGTAATTGGCGATATAAATATTTTTGATTATTATATTTATCAATGTTTATATTGAAAACGAAATAGATATGTGAAACCGATAACAGAGAAAAATTAAACTTATTCTAGGATCAAGGCCTTATGGAGCCGTTAGTGATGATGTTATTTTATCTTTTACTTTTTGGTTATATACTTTGAGACAAACATTTACATTTTAATTCATGTAATGTATTCTGTATGGTATTTGATAACGTTCGACACTTTTGTATGACTTATCGTTGCGTTGACTATTATCTAATAAACATGTTATTCAAACATTGCTCGATAGGTTGAAACATAAATACAGTGATATAAATACATTTCAGGCTTTTGAAATTGAACTCAGTGTACAGGAAGTTTGAAAGGGAAGACAAGCTAAATATCTTGACCTACTTGATATCAAGCGAAGAATTTGACCTGCTCAAATCATTGGAACTCCTGCCACTGGCCAATGGCGAATTCATCATGTTCAAGACCAGCAGATTTCCAAAAAAAATTGTATGTTCCACATCTGTTAGACAGCTCTGTCCTGAATTAAATGAGACTTTAGTACATCAGCTACCACCTAAAATAACTGAACTGATTCTCAGATTAGCAAAATCAGGTGACTTAATGTGATTTATATATATATATATAAGTCTGAAAATATATATAAATCTGAAAATTCTGTATATATATATATGCATGCACACGTATAAAAATTGCGGTTTTTATCCAACGCAATCATAGGTTTGAACGTTGTTTTCAATTTAGACTTGTTTATATATATATATATATATTTATATATATATATATATATATATATATATATGAGTCTAAAAGATTGTGTAACAATACCGATAAATAGATGGAAAACAAAACACTAAAAAGTGTTGAATATCATCGCACAAAGATGGAAAAACTGAACAGATGATATAAATTATACAATAATTGCAAATATTTCGGCTCAACAAATGGCCTTCCTCAGTGTTAAAAGTTTTAACAATACTGATATATAATGTATAAGGTGTACAATACTGATATATAATGTATAAGGTGTACAATACTGATATATAATGTATAAGGTGTACACCTTATACATTATATATCAGTATTGTTAAAACTTTTAACACTGAGGAAGGCCATTTGTTGAGCCGAAATATTTGCAATTATTGTATAATTTATATCATCTGTTCAGTTTTTCCATCTTTGTGCGATGATATTCAACACTTTTTAGTGTTTTGTTTTCCATCTATTTATCGGTATTGTTACACAATCTTTTAGACTCATATAATTTTCCCTGTTTGTGTAGTATTGTCAATTTTGATGATCCAATACCTATTAAGTTTACTGGTTGGTAGATTCTTATAGACTCTATATATATATATATATATATATATATATATAGCAAGTCTAAAAGGGTAC